TTGCCGGCAGGAATGGCATTGGTAAATAGCTTCCATGTATGCAGAAAGATTTCATCAAGTTTCCAAAAAAGAGTTTCCAAGGAAAAAGAAACAGGTTGTCAAAGGAGATTTTCTTAGTCAATGCTTGTAAGAAATATGCTTGGACAAGATAATTAGTTGAGGGACTCCATAATTAAAATATTTATATTTTATTAACAAAGTTTGATCTAGTTGATAAGAATTTGACCCATGACCTATTACGTCTTATGATCAAATCTGACTGCTAGTGTGAGAAACTTATTGGTGAATTTTTGTTTTTTGTAATTTTTTTTTGAGTGTGAAGGCATCTTTTAATTTTGATGAGTTTTTGAGACCTAACTCACTTATATTTTTTTTTACCAAAAAAATATTTGTATCTTTATCAATATTCTAACATGTTGAATTCAAGCTTACTCACTTTGTTCATAAGATATTAATCAAAGTACACTTCTAATGTGTTAGTTCATTGTCTTTAAAATTACACATTTTTTAATATTTATCATTGTTTGTTAGCTGTCTCAATTAACAAAATTTTATCAATTACACCCTAATTAAGGGTATTTTTTTAAAAAATTATTAATTATTGTACATTAAAAAACTCAAAATACATTATGTTTTTTTATCAAGATGCTTTGAAAAAAAAAAAAGATGTCTTGAAATATTAAATGGAGAGAGTAGACTTTTTCATTTTTATAACCAGGCCCGGTTCGTCTGGTTTGGACTTTACAGTTTTCAAGTTGAGCCAACCGAGTTTTCTCTCAGTCTCACTGTTGTTGTTGCTTTTTTTTTTTTTAAAAAAAAAACACCTGAAGCAGCAGCGCATTGATTGTATGGCTCTTTTAGGGATTAAAATAATTATTCGATTATCTACAATGTAAAAATATTAAATATAAAGGAGATAATGATGACAAAAATAAAAATAATTATATAAATTGAAATCTTTAAAACATCAACTAAAATAGATTCATTCATTAATTTGCTTTAAATTAGGTTAAATATTTAAATAAATCATGTGGATGCAGAATATGAATTTATAATTATTTATTTTGATATGTTTTTTTTATTTTTAAATTTGACTTAATAATATCAAAGATCAAATGAGGAAAAATGTTTTTTTTTTTTTTAAGCAAGCCTTTAAAGTTTCAGTTCCGGGATGTTGAGCCATCCAGAGCTAATTGCGTATAACAGATCAGACCAATGGCCCAAGATGTACGTATTTTTCTGCTCTGAACTATAATGCTGGGCCCAAAAACGTTTTCTAACAAAACGGAAAAATGAAGTTTCTTATATTAAAATTTTAATTGACGTATAATTATTTTTATAGTTTTTATTAGTTATATAATGAATTTTAAATAATTATATTTATGAAAATATTTCCTTATGTAATCATTTCAAGAACTCAAATGTATTTGTACTTCAAATAATTATATAATAATTTTTTAAGGACTCGAGGCAACAATATCAAATATGAGTAAAAAAATCACTAAAATCTTTTAATTTTCTGAATTTTCGAAAATTTAAGATTTTAAATTGTAATTAAAATTTCTACAGAGTTCTTAGAAATGGTTTACATTTAGCATAACTTTTGATTTAGTTAATAAGAAAGTTGTATCAATTTAACTAAATATCTCGAGTTCAAACTTTAAGAATGCAAGTGCCAATCACGTTAATGAAAGAGTTAAAAGTCTAACCAAAAGGGAGGGTGAATTGGCTTACTAAAAATTTAGCTAATTTAAATAAATTCATAGAGGTGAGTTTAGAAAGATATCACTAATTGCAATAGAGAGTAAGGAAGAAATGTTTGCTCAGATCACTTATTCTGATTCAACTCTAACTACTTGAGCTCATATTTAGTCCTCAAGTACCACTTGGAATTTTTTTCACTAATTTCACTAAAATTAATTTGGACTCTTGGTTGCCTTGATACAATTTAAAACTTAAATCAAAGTTTGCATCACTCCTTTTTATAAAGGTAATGATAAAATTTTCTTAAACTCCTTGAGTTTAAGATCTCATGTTTTAAGAATATAAAATGAGGATAAATAGAGTAAATTCAAGAATGAATTATTTATGTCAAATACTCTCTAAAAGAGTTAATTTATAATCAATGAAGCTTACTATAATGAATACAAACTTAGAAATTCAGGAAAAAAATAAATGAGATAGCTTGCATAATAACTCAGGTGTTCGTTTTTACTTACTATCTTTAGAAATTTGTCTTTATATATGTTCTTCAATAAATGACCAGTTAGACTTTTGAATATAGTCATTAAAGTTATCGTCTTCTCTCTTTTGAGCTTCATCTAGAAAAGAGGCAATGAATATAAGGTTATTTGACAAAGTTAGGTGAGAGTTTATTTCGGAAGAACAAAGGTTATTTGAGAATAATCAACAAGTGTTTAGTCCAACTTAAAATTGTGTTTAAAATGGTTTTAAGATGATTAGAGAGTAACATAACTCAAAAAAAGTGAGAGGAATGTTTAGAGATTGAGATTTAAAGAGACTTAAAATCAATCAAAAAACATAGTATGAATCTTCATGCTTATTTAAAAATAAATGAGCATATTCTAAAATAGTGAAGAACAAAATAATTTGAAGTACGAGATTGGCTCTTTTGAAATATTGCCCTTATATTTCAAGAAGTTTACGCACTAGACGATTTGAAGAGCTTTCTTTGGGAATAAGGGAAGTTATTCCCAAATAAGAGCTACATATTCATGAATAACCAAATGTATTTTTGAAATAAGGCAATGAGTTTTTGAATGAGAATTTGTTATGAAACAACAAGAAGGGAGAGAATAGCTTAAGACATGGACTGTTTTGAAATAAGTAAGCTTATTCTTAAATAAGGAACTTTTAAAAGGTAAAACTCAATATATGCTTTGGAATAAGGCTTGACCTTTTAAATAAGCTATTTCAAAAAAAAATGGCTATTCCAAAATAAGGACTTTGATATATAAAAATTATAAAGGCTCTCAAAATTTAGATTTTTTATTTTAAGATCAACTAAAACACCTTTTAAGTAATACAAAAGATTCTTATAGAACTAAGATCAAGTCAAATACTTAATTTTTTGTGTGAAAAACTATTGAAATAGATGCAGGATAAATTTAAGAGTTTCTTAGCTATTTGAAAATAAGGCCTAAGAGTCAGATTTTAAAGCAATAATATCATTTTTCTTACAAACTATTAATCTTTAATTATTAAACTTTCAATATACAAAATTCTCTCATTTTATAATTATCAAAATTAGGGTTCAACAAGATCTTTCATCTAAAATGATCATGACTAGACTTAATCTAGATCTATTAAATTGATCTTAGCTCAACGTGAAACAAACCTAAAATATCGAGTGCACTACATAGAAAAAAAATAGTTTACCCTTGTTTTAAATATGTTAAAATATGCAGCTATATTAAATGAAAATGTCAAAGATATTTTCAAGATAATCATACAGCTATTATTAATAAAAAAAAAGTCTAGTGCAACTAGGTCTTGATTAGTTTAAGCAGGGGTAATAACATTTCAAGGTTTCTTAGAATAACCTTAAAAAAGTGAAAAAAATTGATGAGACCATTTTAAAAAAAAATCTTCAAAATCTCTCTATTTTTATTTCAAATTTAAATGTAAAAATTATTTCTCTTCTCATTTTCTGTCTTTCTCTTACTTTTCTCTCCACATCCATTCGAGAGAAAATACAAGTCTCGCCAATTTTTTCTAAATGCACCGAAAATAAGTGTCATCCGTGATTCTCATTTCATCATCCGCTGCACTAAATGCACCGAAAATTGTTTAGGCATTAATTAATAATATAACCCAATCTTAGCTTATTTTCTCTTTTCATTTTTATTCTATTTCTTCCAATTTCAACATATTAAATTGGACACAAGTCTTTCTCAAGATGCAGTTAAATTATAGTTATTGTCTAATTTTTTTATAAATTTGTCATTATCAAATGTATAATTTTTAAAAACACTTTTCTTTTGCATAAATTTTTTATTTTTTATTTACTGAAAGTTGTGAAAACTTAAAAGTGGAAGAAAGTAATTAATGACAATATTTTTATATAAAGTGATTTATAAAAAAAACATAGGTCATTTATAAGTTAGGGTAAGAGAGTAAATTGACTTTAAAATTATAGGTCAATGAGTATATAGGATTTTAAATTTATTTTTAGTATAATATTTTTCTTCAATTTTTGACTATTAGTTTAAAAAAAATAACAAAAAGGGACCTAAATTATAAAAATGGCCAAAATTTTTTTTTAATTATTTTTCATAATTTTAAGATATTTTTTGGTTAACTTATAATTAAAGTTAACTTTGTTAACAATGGGAGTTAAATTATATTATTTTTAAAAGTTAAAAAATTAATATAATACAAATAAATTTAAAATTCTTAACACTCTTGAATTTATAATTTAATTTTAATAATTAATTTATTTTTTTATCTTATAAGTTATGACTAAGATAAGGGGGGTGTATTATTTTTTTCATTTTTCATAAATTTTGTTATTAAAAATAATCTTATTTCAGATACGATAAGTCATTAATGCACACAGTACGCACCACTTATTATTGTTTAGTACTTTACTCGTTTTGTGATACTCACAAATGCACCGAAAAAAGCTAGCCAGACAGATATTATTAAAACGGCGCCAAATAGAAAGAGGAAAATTCCTAAGGAACGGAAGCGACTTGAAAAAACAAACGCTCATTGGCAGCATGGCTGCTCTATAAGCCAAGTGTAACAATTCAACCCCTCCTTGACTAACCATAGTTAGTTAACCCAACTCTGACTTTAACCCTTGGTTACCTCACCTCTTTCACAATTACATCCATTTAATCTTCTTCCTTAGTCTAAATCACCTTCAATTTCTTGCCTCTATTTTTTATTTCCCTCTCTCTCTCTCTCTCTCTCTCTCTCTCTCTCTCTCTCTCTCTCTCTCTCTCGCATTTGGTAAACAACTTTAGGTTACCAAAATAAACTGTACTCTCTGCTCCTACAAATACACACTCTTCATCATCATCGCATTGTATTGTTGTTCTCTCTTACACACAAAGTTATGAAGAGGTCTTCAAGTGCTTCTTCTTCCCCTTGCTGCTCTTCTTCTTGCTCTTCTTCTTCGCCTTCTTCGTCTTTTTCTTCTTCTCTCGAGTTTCAGAATCCGGTTCAAGCGGAAGCGCGAGGAAGAGCGAGTAATAAGCGAGCCAGAAGGAGTTGTAATGGTAATGACGATGGTAATAATGACGATAATAAGTTGCAGAAGGCAAAATCCCGAAGCTCGAGCTCTTCCGCCATTAATGGCGGACGAAGAAGCTCTGTTTATAGAGGAGTCACCAGGTAACTAACTAATCGTCGCGTCTCTCTGTATTCTCCGATCGATGCAGTGAGAAATAATTGCCAAGTGGTTTAACTGAATCGAGATTTTTCATTTCTGGACTTAACTGAATCGAGATTGATCGTGGAAGAAAGAGACGATTGTCGTCGCTTATTCCGTGAACTGAACGAAACGTGCGCTTTTGAATTTCTTCGTTTTTCTGGTGTGTTTCTGGAAGTGGATTTTGAATTTGCATTTGCATGTGTGAATCAATTTGAGGTTTTGATCCCTAGGCATCGATGGACTGGGAGGTTCGAAGCTCATCTCTGGGATAAGAGTTGCTGGAACAATCTCCAGAACAAGAAGGGACGACAAGGTACCTTTTGTTGGGAAATTTTTTTGGTGGCTGTTTTTCTGTTTTATTTATTTACAAAATGGCGAAGTTTTGATTAAAATAAATAAAACTTCTGAGGGAAAATCAAGGGGATCTAATACCTTTGTTAATTAATTAATTTTTTTTTACTTTGTAATTTTTTAAATAGGTTATGGTGATTATTATTATGTTGTGTTTCTGACTGTGATGTGTCTTTTCTGTCACTGCCAACGTTCACACAAACCTTTTTGTCGCTGCCTTAGTTTATTTGGGTAAGTCTTCAATCTTCATCTTCTCGGATCTCATGCTCTTCTCATTTCTCAATTTTTCAATACTTGTTAGATTTTAAGCCATGTACATATTTTTCTAACAAACTTAATAAATTTTCCAATTTGAGATTATCGCATGTTGCCTCGCCCATTGGAGAGCCTTATTATATTATTTAGAATTTAGTGAACCTCCAGTAAATAGATACTATATTTATTACTGGTAAAAAAATAGATACTATACTATTTATTTACATATGATTTTAAATTTGAATATTATTTATAGTTTAAAAAGTTTATTTAATTGGACGTATCATTTTTCTATCAGTAAGTTGATGAATTATTAACGGGTCATTTGAACAAAAATTATTTTAAATTGTAACATTAGTAATCACCTGTACACGGTTTAAAATTCAATGGTATGTATTGTGGTAGCAAATTAATTATAAGAGGACCATGTTGCTTGCAATTGAATCATGAAAATAATTTTTTAAAAAAATAAAAAACCAAATTCAATATATATTTGTAAACAAGTGACAAATTAGTATGTTTTATGTTAGGTTTCCTTTGGCAAAAAAAAAAAAAAAAGAACCAATTAGTGTGTTTAGACCCTTCTGCTTGTGTCCTTCCTGCTATATTGGAAATTTATAAATACTTGAGAAGAAAATTTCTTTACAGCTTTGCAGATAATTTTTATTATTTTTATTACTTAGGAATATTAAAATTAGAAGTTTAGAGCTAAATCATACTGCCAGATATTAAATTCATACCCAATAAAAGTGATGAAGTGTCATGACAAAGAATTCGGAGGAATATCAAAAAACATTTTGTCTTACCAAAAAGTTACCAGAAACTTTGAAATAATCAATTATTTATATTACGAATTTTAGAATTTGTCGCTTGCATCTGATTCTCTCATTAAACTTTTTAATTTTTATCTTGCTAATATCTATAGGGGCTTATGATAATGAAGAAGCTGCTGCTAGAACCTATGATCTTGCTGCTCTTAAATACTGGGGAAGAGATTCAACATTGAATTTCCCGGTAGATTAATTTATTTCTCTTTTTGAAGCACATGTTACAACGTTTAATTACCATCATACCAATGTTTAATTTAAATTAATCAGACACATTTTCCCATATTTTTGAAAATTCTACACTTTTTTTTTTACAAGTCAGAACAAAAATTTCCTTACTTATGCATACATTCGTATCGCCATCAATATTAGAAACTAATAGAAACTGCACGATTCACAAAGCTGTCTATTCTCAAGCTTTGTGAAATATATTTTTTTTTAATACATACTTATAAGGTTCCCATGTTTGAGTTCTTTTTGCAAACATAATCGAAACCGATGGTTTCGGTTAATTGCACAAATGATATTTGTAATCATGAGATCAATTTTAATTTAACTTAAAAGTTTTGTTAATGAATTGTGCAGATAGAAATATATACCAAGGAGCTTGCGGAAATGGAGAATGTCACAAAAGAAGAGTACTTAGCTTCATTGCGACGGCAAAGCAGTGGATTTTCCAGAGGGGTTTCTAAGTATCGAGGGGTAGCTAGGTTAGTACACGACACAAGACTTGATTAATTTTTGTTATTTATATAAGAAAAAATATAATCACTAATCCCTATACTCTTATCGAATTTTACTTTTAATTTTTATATTTTTGTTTAGTGTTTTTAGTTATTACAGTTTTAATAAGATTGGATGACATTTGTTTCTCATACCCTTAATAATGTTAAATTATAAAAAATATAAGTACTCAAAATATTAAAAATAAATTATAGGGATTAAAAATAAAATTCAATAAAAATATAGGTACCAATGATTGTAGTTTCTCTTTATATAATATTTTAAATCAAATCATATTTTCTTGAACATTGAAACCTAATGCTTTCAATTTTAGTAAACAAAATGTCCAATTTACAATGTATAATCATTTAAGACGTCTAACAGAAATATTAGATACATACAAAACAAGCATTTGAATCTTTGTAATGGATTGACTGCTTTGTGAGAGAGAGAGAGAGAGAGAGAGAGAGAGAGAGAGACATAGGGGATGAACCGCGCCTATTAGGTACGGTCCACAAGTGTCTTTAACTCACAAAAAACGCTTCAAAATGTTACAAAGTATCTTCCTTGGGGATCAGTCAAAACTTGAATAACTTCCTTATCTGTACTTCTTGTAAGATATATACTTCTGGCTTGATTTTTGAATCTATGATCAGTTTTAGCGAGAAGCAAATCAAAATATGCAAGTATATTCATAAAAATTTTAGGACGTTGCATTGGTTAAGGATTAAAAATTGAGCTTGGATTATTAATGGGAAAAGTTGCTTGATTTGACTAGGCATCATCATAATGGTCGATGGGAAGCTCGGATTGGAAGAGTATTAGGCAACAAGTATCTCTACTTGGGAACATATAGTAAGTTCCATTCTATTTTACTTATCAATGTCTCGTCTTTAAAAAATTGTTAGTGATATGTTAAGATATATTTTGGTAAACTTCAAGAAAGGATCAACATTGAATCTTGACCTCACATTCATAGAGGTGCAAATACTTAATACATTTTATATTTACTTGGACTCTATTTCTTTCTTGAATTTTGAGACTAAAATTTTAAATCAACTGAAATACTATGGGAGAATATACTTTTAAAACTAGTACATGTTTCTGATATTGCATTGAATCATACCTTCTTGGAGATTGGAATCCAACAATCTTAGTTTATAATTAATAAGCATTTGGTCCCCCATTTGAGCACTGACATTTTCAACACAAAATAGAAACCGTTAAACACCCACATTAAATACATTACACGCACAGAAGAACAACGCCTCGAGTCCACTATACATATGAAACACAACATTTCAGAGAGACATTGACACAAAACACATTACGAGCTACGAAATAAATGTTCAAACTTTAATTTGTTGCATCACAATGTGTTGCATACAATAAAACCAGTAATGTTTGGTAGATTAAAATCTTGTGGACCACTTTGGTCCACATGCATGAATCTGTCCTTTGACCTAACTATAATTAATTGAAAAATATATGTGAGAGTTAATTAATGCTTAAAGTAGCTATAAGTCTTGTCATGTGCCTTCCCTCTCTTTATTAATGAGTCCGTGTTAACAAGTGGTCACCACGAGGGAGTTATGTGTAGATATGAGGATTTAAATCTATGGAATATTGATCTCCCGTTTCAAATGGCAATTTTTTTTATTTTTCTTTTTTGAAGGACATCTCCACAATTTTCAGGTGCGAGATTAATCTTATTTGAGACATTAATATCTCCTTGCATGCAAGTTTTTTTTTTAAATTATACCTTGAGAGACTTTGAATTTTTATCATTAAGTATACTCTCTGTCTCCATTGTATTGGTGAACTGGGTCATGGATTGTTTTCTGCAACAAATCTATATTTATTTATAAAATTAATTATATTATCAGGCTTAACCAGGTTTGATGCACTATTAGTTGGCTAACCAAACGAACATTTTGACAATTAGCCCTGAACCCACAAAAGCCGGTAATTTGCACATGTAGGAGGATATACACAACATATCCTTGACTTTCTAGTTTCTACTTTTTTTCTTGAACCTGTATGTTTCGGAGTTCAGGAAATGGATCATAGCGTCATAATTTATAATATAATAATATAATCCATGTTCTATGAGTATCTTGCATATTCGATACTTGTAAATTTAAATTGATTGGATATGTTACAATGTAAAAGGAAATTAATTAATTAATTTTTAAATTGAAACTCAGTCATTTATGATTAACTTGGTGTAACTTAGTTCCTTGACTTTTAACCATTTAACTCATTAATCCTTATTCTTTAATCCTATGACTTTTAACCATTCAACTCATTAATCCTTATTCTTTAATCCTATTTATAGAATAAAGAGATAAGCTTAATTTTGACCTTATCTATAGGACACTTTATTATTTTCTATGTTTATTTTTACCTTTTTAATCTTATTAAATATAATTATTAAAAGTAATTCTTTTTGTCCTTATTAATTAGTGTTTAAAAAGTGAGAAATGATTAAATTTTAAAACAAGCTTAATAAGGTTTATTTTTTTATCTCAATAAAATATACTGAAAGTAATTTATAAATAAAATGAAAGTAATTTATAAATAAAATCAGAAAGTGAATATTACTTCATAACTTTGTTACAACTTCGTGTCTATAAAGATTAGATGATTTTTTTAAAGTATAGGGATTAAGCAGAAATGGCTAAAATTTAAAGGAATGAGTCAGACCAGTTAAATTTTAAGAATTGGATTCTCACTTCTCACCCAAAAAAGTTATAGGAATTTAAAGGATTAAATTTTTCTTAAAGAATTAAATAACAATAAAATGAAAGCAGAAAAATGTTTTGAATAAAATTTTGATCTCTCTCTTTCTCTCTCTGTGGGTCTCAGTCTCAGACTCTAGGGACATGGTTCAATTTGACAATGTTCATGCAGTCTCTATCTACAGTATCCTGCCAAAGCGTCAGTCCAACCAACATCTGTGCGCGCGCGTGAGTGCATAAAATAATTGTGGGGTAGAAGTCCTCAAAGAGGAACAAAAAATTCAAAAGTGGGACAGTTGGATCAATGTTATAGTATTTAACTGAAAAAGATACGGAGATTTTGAAGAAAAAGAGACTAGATCAAAAACACTTGCCTCTAACAAACACGCCCAGAGGGCACGTGAATTCTAATCCTACCCATTGCACAATAATGTTCGACTTTCTTAGATTCTGTATCCTAAAGTCATCTTTCTTGGGTTCTTTTTTCTGTGCTTCGTTTATTAAAATAATCCCAAACACATTCTTAATCACTACTTTTTTTTTTTTTATGTTAATCTTTATCATTCTCTCTGCCATAGTACGAAAAGTCGAAGTCCCTCGGATACTTTGCTGTAGATCTTACCTTTTTTTGGTTGTTTATTTTTGGGCTTAACTAATTCATCATAATAGTCACACAATTCATTTTTTATGTTGCATTATTATTACTCTCTTTTTAATTACTTAATTTTTAAGCCAGACTATCTTTTGAAATTTATAGTAAAACTCAATTCAATCCATAATACCCCCAATCTTTACTGCAAAACACCTTTTGAAAAAGCGATAGTTCTTAAAATACCTGGTGAAACATTAATTTTATTTGTTAATATTATTTTTATTTAAATTCATTAATTATGAAAAATAATAAATGGAGTACATGTTTAAAATTTGTTCATTGGGTACCCAAAGTTAATGACTTTAGTCAGAGATACCTTATAAAGAGAAAGTAAAATATATTTTTCAGATGCCAGTAAATTAAATTCTACTATTTTTGTCCTTGATTTTGAATTCTGGTAAAATAAACCCAAAATATCTCTCATTTATCTAATTTAAATATAGGTAAAGATCTTTAACCCGTGACATCACAAAGGTCTTTTATTAACCTTTGAATTACTCGAAGAGTTATAATCATGTGACAGTGCATCAAAAGAGAGTCAATCATGTGACATCTTTTGTAAACTTGGACAGATTCTGATGGGCTTTTATATTGATATTGTTGATGAGAATATTGCATGTGATTAGTCAAGTTCATGTCCTAAATTAGAAAAAAAACATGGATTAATTTAATTCCAGTTCTAATTAACCCACTTTTGGTTGCTAATTAGTCATCTTGAATTGAAGGTACTCAAGAGGAAGCAGCTACAGCATATGACTTGGCAGCTATACAATACCGAGGCGCAAATGCAGTGACCAATTTCGACATTAGCAGGTATATAGATAAGATCAACATCACCAACCTGGACAACAATGGCGAAGCCCAAGAAGAAGATCAAACTGTGATCACAGTACCATCACCATTAGAAGAAGAAGAAGTACATCTCAATTCATCCTCTTCCTCATCCTCCTCCTTGGAGTCAGAAAATCTGCAGAACCAGAAGCAACCACAAGACCTAGAAATCGAACCTGAAAATCCTCAAATTCAACCTAATCAGATCCCTCCACTGAACGAAGAATCCTCTCCGATTGCTCCTGTGGACCCCATTCCGACTACCAATGAAAATGAGGAGCTTTCATGGATCTTCATGGACGACGACGGATTCTCTCAGTTTCAAGTTCCAGATCTGCCCGACGACGGCGACTTACTGAGCGTGTTCGGTGACGGCGCGAGAAGATTCGATGACGACATCGGATTTCTGTTCAGGCCGGATCCAGAGGAAGCCGATTTCAACCTGGACGCGATTTTGAGCACCCCAAGCTGCAGAGATCTGGTGATGGAGGATTCTTCGACGAGGATGGTGGCGGTGCGTGATGAGGATTGTGGGCATGAGAATTTGCTGTGTTCTGCAAATTCTGCTTCTTGTTCATCAAACTCTTCGATTTCTTCTCGGGATTATACTTCATGATCGATGTGACTGAGATTGTTAGTTCTGGTTTGATTTGATGTGTGTTTTGTGATAGGTGGTTGATGAATTGTGCAAGTGTTCATGGATTTGCCTTCATCCATCCATATATCTTTTTTTTTTTTAGTTTAAATTTAGTTCAACACAGGTAGACCAAAAAGAATGATAAGAACCGTGAAGTTACTTGAATGCAATAAGACAGTCATGTTTAGTTAACAAATAAGGTTTTCTCTTGTTTGTTTTCCTTTTATTAATATTTGTAGGGAAGTTTGAATTATAAAGATTTGATGTTGGAGATCTCAATTTTAAAATTACATGTACCTTATCCCGTCCAACATGAAAAGATTAATCTTCTTTCCTTCTCGATTTTATATGTAATGACTGGCATGTTAACAGAATTTGACAGAGATGGACTATAATTACTTTTTTTAATTTCACTTTTTCACAATTTTTTATGAATAAAATAAGAAACTTACATCAGAGATAAAATAATTTTTGAATGATGCGTTTGACAAAGATAAATTTAAAATTTTCATTTTAAATAATATTGAATTTATACTTATATATAAAAAGAAAAATCATATTCAACGAGCCATTAAAAAATTTATTTACAAATAAAGATGAGTAATAAATTTTATTTAAAAAATAAGTTTATATTCTGATTTTAACAATAATCATTTTATATTAACTTTTATTTATAAATAATTTTAATCAAATTCTTGAATATAATTCTCTCCATATAAAATGAGAGAGCAGGTACGTGCTAGTTGTTTAGAAAAGATTCAATTAGTTAGCATGCAAATATTTGCTAAATTGATAGATGATATGATATGATTGGCTAGTGGGTCAAGTCACTGTTACAAAAAAGCATTTCTACTACCTTAATTTATGTCTCATTTTAAAAATGTGACTTAAAAAGAATATAATTCATGTCACTTAAATGAAAAGAGGACATGGATTGAATTTTTTTAAAAAAAATTTTAATAAGCCACGTCCTCTTACTGCCTGAAAGGACGTGGCTTTATCAAAATCCACGTCCCCTTCCTCTTGAGGGATGTAGCTTTTGCAGAAGCCACATCCCCTTGTGAGGAGGGGGACATGACTTCTAACAAAACCAGCTAGCTTTTAAAAAAGCCACATCCCCTTGTGAGGAGGGGGATGTGGATTCTTAAATCCACGTCCCCTTGATTTTTAGGGGATGTGGCTTCTCGAGTCAGCCTCATTTTTTGAACCTCGTGTTAGTTTTTTATTTTTCAAAACCACACTCAAAGTCTACTACTCTCATCTCACTCAGTGTCTCATCTCTCTTAATGTTTGCTGCTCTCTCTTAGCTCATCTTCATCTCTCAGCTTCTCAACCTCTTGGTGCCTTTCGTCTCTCTTAGCTTCTCAGCCTTTTATAGTTGCTCTACCTCTTGTCTCTCTTAGCTCAACGATCTGTATCTGAGATTTCTTTCTAGCTCTCTACCTCTCATGTCTCTCGTTTTTATCCTCATCTCTCAAAGCTCAGCTAAGCTCAGTGTCTCTCGACTACTTGTGTCAATGAAAGCTCAGCTGCTCACAAAGCCCCAGCTCAGTGTCTCTTCCTGTTGCCTCTCTCCTCTTCTTTACTAAACAACGAAGCCCCAGGCACTGTTTCTTTCTTTCTTTTTTTATCTGAAGTTATCTCTATTGTGTCTTTCTAATTTATTTTCCCACATTGCAAAGAGTTTGAAATTATATTTGTGGTATTTTGCAATTTCCATTGTGGTATTCTTTTTCTTTAAACAATGCACATTCTTGATTAGCAAACTTTGAAATTTTCATCTAATTAAAAACCTTACAATGCACATCCAATCCAATTAGAATTAAGGACTAATCTGGTCACATTGTTGACTAAGGGATGGGAAACCATAAAAATATACTATGCTAATCTAGTCACGTGTTGTCAGGTTTAATTATAATATGCTAAATTTACTTCTCTCTTTTGTATAGTAAAGTTAATATAATATATCAATGTTAATTGTATATACTGATAGTAAGAAACGAAATAATAGAAATAGCAATTAAGATAATATAATTTACTGATGATAACCCTTTGATTGGTGCAAATGACTATAGTTAGAAAATGATAAGCTTATCAAGGCCTTTGTAGGTGTTAGAAAAAAATATTTAAATTGCAAAGAAAGGAAGGCTTATTAAAATGTTCTTTTGAACTTCAATGTATTAATTACAATAATATAGGATTAAGTTATAAGTATTGCTTATTGATCTTTGTAATTCCATATTATTATTCATTTTAATTAAATGCACGGGGCAATAAAATCTAGTCAAGGACTAAAAACAAAACCTAATTAAAGTTAAAAAAAACTTAGATGCTAGATAAAGATAATAAACGGAGTAGCATAAAATTAAAGATTTAGTGGTTTGTGTTTTTGTTGGAGAGGTGAGGAGTTTGATAAATACATCCAATCCAATTAATATATATATATATATATATATAAGATTTTTAAAAGACTTATATGAAAAGATACTTATTCTCTATCTATGACAATTATATAATACATGTATTTCATATTTTTTGTCCTTAAATTATATATATATATATATATTGCCAACCAAATTTAATTTAAACATGTTTTATGTTAGCAAACACTTGAAAAATTAAAATTTCTTAACACTAATGACCCTAGACATGATCAATAATTTTGATAAAATTGATAGCCTGATTTGGATAGAGGAAAAAGTGAGAGGAAAATAGATAGAAGAGAATACTAGGAAATAAAACTTCTAAAAATAGTAATTTTTTATTTCCTCCTTCTATTTTTTTCCTTCCATCCAAACTAAGAATAAATGAAATAAATGAAATTGCAATGTATGGAAAAAGTAGAGGCTGTAACATCCCAATTTAAATTTTAGTAGTTAATTTGAATTTATAAAAATTTTAAAAAATATTTAGAGGTAAACAAATTAGTAGGAGATGATTATTAAATCTAACTTAAGATATAATTCTAAATTAAAATTTAAAAAAATTAAAATTAATTAATTAATTAAAAAAATATATTAAATTATTGTTATTATTATTATTAAAAGAAAAGGAAAAGGTATAAAAAAAAAGAAAGAAAAAGAAGAGAAGCTTTCAGCGTTCGTCCGCGTGTAATGATTACATATATATATAATAATAATAATAAAAAGAGAAGAGAGAGGAAAGAGGAAAATAAAAAAAAATGTAGGACCCGCAGTATTTTTTTAAAACCACCCTCTTTCCTTCGCTTCTTCATTTCTTCCCTGTGCGCGAGCTGAGGCAGAGAGCGAGCGAGAGAGCGAGCGATGCTGCGGCTAGAGGAGTTGATTTAGAAGGTGAAGCTCCATAGTAAGATATTTTAGATGAGATTTTAAGTATTTTATGACTAGGTAAATGTTCTAAACATTTTTTTAGTCATTTTTCCCTTTGAGCTGTAGATTCTAAAATTTTAGAAAACTTAGGGTTTGAAAGAGGGATGAATTTATGTTAAATAAATATAGTTTTTGAGGTTGTTAGTAGTGTAATAAATATTTTAGAGTATTATTTTGTTGATAGAATTGAAATTTGAGGCATTTGAGTTTAAATTATTTGAATGAAATTATTGTGAAGGAGACTATTGAATTAAGTAGATAGGTTCAAATACATGAAATTAAATTTTAGAATTCAAGAGACTAAGACTAAATTCTTAAAAAAATATATAAAAATAAAATAAATATAAAATAAAATAAAATAAATACTTAGGTGTTAGAGTATGAGTGAAAATTGTGTTAATAATATTATTGACATATTGGGATATGATCAATTATAGATTAATTTTTTTTTGACACCATTCAAGTTTTGGAAAGCTTTGGAAGTGTTGTAACTTGAGGGATAACCTTTGACCTCTCAAAGGTTAAGGTAATCGGGAGAAATCTATTTTATACATTTGTATGTTACTTAATTAATTATATTAGTGAAATAAAAGAATATATATATATATATATATATCTCTAAATTTGAAATAGTTGTTTGTAATGCATGTGACTTTGTTGAGACTTTATGACTTGTGAGTAATGAAATTGATGGTTGATGATTATGTGTACACTCTTGATTATAAGTTGTAGATTATGCACAATGATGAAAGTTGATGAGCATGTGGGATAATTTTGAAATATATATATGAGTTTTTGAAATGCATTTTCTCATGAGCATGATCATATGGTGAGAGTTCGCCTTAGTGAAGGAGTTACCGATTACACAAAAAATCATATGGTACTTGGCTATTAACCAATAATCCTAGGGGTTATAGCCGCTACTTACCTTGTAAGGTACTGTAGCATTGTTCCTATTAAGGGACTTGACCCTACTGGCTTACCTGGAGTTTTGGGTAGAGCTAGTTTTGGGTATGACATCCCATAGTGTGTGATTTGGGGGAAACCGTGTTCATAAGTGAGTAAGGTAACCCTAGCCCGGTAGCCTCTCATGATATGATTAAGTCCTTGGGTAGTCTCACCACATGGACGATCCCTTTCGGTTGTTGGCCTACGGATTTCATGTCAGAGGAAATAAGGGGGGATATAAGGAAAAGATCGATCATGCATATTATTACTATCATGCCATTTGAGTGATTGATGATTATGTTGAGAATATGATTATAATTGTAGAAATGAGAACATGCAGTAATTATACGAATAATGTATATGTGGCTATTTGTGCAAATTTTATACTTGACTTTATTCTTGAGATTATTCACATGAGTTAGATGTTAATGTGATTAACATGTTATTAATGTGATTGTTTACATAGTCACTTTGATAAACTTATTAGCCACTTACATTCATGATTAATTATCATACATTTGTACAATTTAGATGTACCTTGGTTACTGAGTGGTTGTACTCATCCCTCTCTTTTAACATATTACAAGAGCTAGCTCATCTAAGAAGAATAGAGAAAAGGAGCATTAGGCCAAGTGATAATAATCACTTCTGTAGGCCTCTCTCCTTTTATGTTGATATGTGTATTTAATTTATAATATTGTCAATTAGGATAATATATTATTGATCCACTTGCACTATAGATTTTGTGTAGGATGGAAAGGTATTTTGGGCTCTTGAGAATGTGTTTTGATGCTTGTATTATATTAATGGGCCAAAATATTTGTGCAAGTAAAAATAGTTATTATCATGCTTCCGTATAAGTTTAGTTGAATGATATGAGTTCTTAAAATATTTTAAAGACTTGGGATCCCTTTATATTAAATAGTTTGAAAAAAATATATATATTAAGAATTCATTTGGGTTAATCTCGTATTGGATAATCCATTTGGGTT